TTCTACCTGTTGGGTGAAGACCCTTCAGCCACAACAGAGATCGAGATCCCCGCCTCAACGGACGAGGAGGGCCTCCAGCATCTCGCCGCCTCTCACTTTGCCGTCGTCGACCACAAGGGTAAGCACCATCTCGTTCCCACCCTCACTCCTGCACCCAGCTAACAGTCCCCAAAGGCATCGGCTTCGTCTCCGGAGATGAGGCTCTGACAACCGTCGCCGACGTCCTCGCCGCCGAGGGCCCCGTCGCCCTCTCCATCGACGGCCACGCCGTCCGCGAGGTCCCCGGCCCGGCCGGCCTGCCCTTCATCGGCAACTACTTCGAGGTCTACCCCGACCACCTCGGCAACCACCAGCGCCTCTTCGAGCGCTACGGCCCCTTCATCAAGACAAACAACATGGGCTCCGTCATCTACCACACAAACGACCCCAAGCTCGCCAACATCGTCTTCTCCGAGTCCGACTTCTTCACAAAGAACATCATCCCCGGCCACCCCCTCTACCCCATCAAGAACCAGGAGTCCGGCGTCTTCCTCGGCGACACCGACACCCCCGAGTGGAAGCTCGCCCACAAGTTCCTCCCGCCCGCCTTCGGCCCCAAGGCCGTCCGCCACTACGCCCCGACCATGCAGGCCACCGTCGAGGACGCCTTCAAGGTGTTCGACGAGCTCGACGACAAGGACGAGGCCTGGAACGTCTACCCCTACATGCTCAAGCTCGGCTCCCAGGCCGTCGGCAAGCTCGTCCTCGGCATGGATTTCAAGCATTTTACGGCCGTCGACGCCCCGCCCCACGAGATGGTCATCCGCATCGCCCAGTCACTCGAGCTCAACAAGAAGATCACCTCCATGGGCTCCTGGTACGCCAAGCTGCCCTTCGGCGACCCCCAGCGCCTGCGCGACGCCCGCGGCCGCATCATCGACATGATGAACGAGTCCATCGCCGCCGCCTCCCGCGGCGGCACCGCCAACCTCGAGCTCCAGGAGGCCGCCCTCAACGCCGACAACATGGTCGACTACGTCCTCCGCGCCGCCGACCGCGACGGCAACAAGCTGCCCCAGGACCGCATCATGGAGCCCCTCGTCGTCGCCACCGGCGCCGGCTTCACCACCACCTCCTCCCTGCTCTCCTGGCTGCTCTACGGTCTCGTCGCCTACCCCGGCATGCAGGAGCGCCTACTCCAGGAGCTCATCGACAACGACTTCACCGAGGACACGCAGATCACCGCCGAGCTGACGCAGAAGCTCACCTTCCTCGACAAGTACATCAAGGAGACGCAGCGCAAGCACAACCCGTCGTACCAGCCCGCGCGCACCTCCAAGGTCGACATGGTGCTGCCTGGGGGTTACAAGCTGCCCAAGGACAGCATCGTCATTCCGGCGATTCACCACATCCACAACAACACGCTCGTGTGGGACAACCCGGCGCGCTTCGACCCGGACCGCTGGGACACGGAGCAGGTCAAGAACCGCCCCAACGCGAGCTACATCCCCTTCGCGACGGGCCCGCGCATGTGCATCGGCTTCAACTTTGCGCTGCAGGAGGTCAAGGTCTTTTTGCCCAAGCTGGTCTACCGCTACAAGTTCAGTCTCGCGCAGGACAGCGCTGTGGAGTATGACCCCATGTTCCAGCTCATCCGCCCCAACAACCTGTACGTGCGCGCCGAGAGGAGGGTCAAGTGGCCTCCCAGGAGCGACGCTTAGAGGTGTGTGAAATTGGGATAGGACGGGTTTCGGGTTTGTGTGTATTTTTGTATGTACCATATTTGTCGGTGTATACCCTTTGGAGCATTGCATGGCGCGGGAATCTGGGGCAATTGGGGTTAGATCTTATGACATAGACATTAGAGCTGGATAGATCTAGACTAATTACAACTTCTACTTGTTCACATCCGTCTCTTTTTTGCTCGTCTTCAGTGTTTCCAAATGCGGCAATGCAATGAGGCCATCACCACGATGGACTGCCCCGCGCAGCATCCCGCCTCAGAAAACACGACACGAACAGTGCCCCGCTGTCTCCACCCAAGGCCTCGAACCCCCACATCCCAGGGGCGGTAATGCCGACACCTGGATTCTTCAACCTTATGCCAAGTGCCGATCCCTCTTTCACAAATACGACATTGGGAAATCATGCGAAATCAAACATTTTCGATGGCTCGCTCGAAAGAAGCTAGCCTGCAAAGTATGCCACCGGCATCCCCTGGTAATCGACAGGAGAATAGTAGAAGGCTGTCGGGGAGAAACGTCTCGGCGGACAGGGCATCTGGGAAGCGAAGAGTGGGGGCGAGATGAAGAGACAAAAAGGAAAGGGACAAAAACCGAGGGGACAAAAAAGCAAGAGCTCAATTCGATCTAGAACCAAGTCCATGTAAACGGTTGTGGTTTTACATGATAGCCTTATCTTACGACTTGCTGTTCGATTAAGAAGGGCTCAGGCTCAAGATGCCCTGCGAGACATCTCGCGTTTGGTCTATTTCCAACATCGGGAGGTATTAGACGTACTACTGCTACTCTGAACCGCTCTCATGTCATTGAGTAAATTGAATGGGTGTTGGATCGAGAACTGAGTGATAGTCCCAACGTGTAGAATGAATCTAGACGGTTCGATATAGTCTCATGCCTGTCTCAGAGTACGTACCGACCACTTACCTTATGTAAGGGGACGAAACTGCAGGAAATAGTTAGACGACTGCCCAACGACATGTCCTAAATCTCCATCTCACCATCGGCATAATTCAACCTCTCACCTACTCAAAGCCGGAGATCGCTCTTTGCTTTTATCCACATAAGCCGCACCGGACGATATGCCGCGTCCCAACTTCTCACAAAATGCACCGCCGCCCCAAAAGCCGGTCTACTCAGATGCCTCAAGTTCCTATTGGCCACCGGGCTGGAACTATGACCGCTACCGCCATGCTACTCACGCTGACATCGCCGAGCTTCCTGAGGGGGAGCTTTTGAAGATGCAAGCGGGATTGCGCGACGTGCTCGGCGAAGAAGGGGTAGGGAGGTTGGCTATGCATACATATGAAGAGCAGCAGCGGGAATTGGGCCCCAATGCTAAGGAGAGTGTGCCGGAGTACTTTCCACCGAATTGGCTGAAGCATTGGAGAAAACGTCACGAGGGCCAGACGTGGGGTGTGGTGGCCTTCCGAACAGCCAGCTACGATGATGCGAAACGATGGGAAGCATTCGTCAAAGAAGTGGGCAGGATTGTTGAGATTCCATTCCAGAGAGCGATCGAGGAAGGCGACGTTCCTGAGGAGTCTATGGAATCCATTGAGGAGGCCAGGTCCAAGTTTGAGATCAGATGGATCGAGAATTCTGCCCTGGCCAACGAAAGAGCCGACGACCTCCGGGAGAGATTTGATAACCTCAGGCCGTATCTATCCGCCGGAATGTCGGACAAGGTGTTTCTTGTCGCATCTGAAGAGGCAGTGGCATCTGTGCTGGACCTGGAGGAAGCTGAACGGCCGACTACGAAGTCCAAGTGGTGGCGGCCATCGGCGCCGTTCCTGGTTGTCGTCGCCGTGGATCCTGATCCGGGGCTGGAGGAAGGTCATGAGGAGAGAGAGTGGTTCAAGCCTGTATTCAAAGTCGCAGCGGAAGTAGCAGTTGAGGAGCTGTTGTGGCTTCTGGACTCTGACATCATGCCCCTGAGAAGAATCACGCGAAGCGTTAAGGGATTGGCAAGCATCACGGGCAATGAGGTCGTCGGGGACAGGGAATCAGATGATCTCTGGTGGAGTACGGCTCCTTCTCCGCAGAGAATGAGGAAGCGTCGTGGAGTATAAGCGCTACGTCTTGGAAGAAACAGCAGTTGATGAAAGGATGGGTGACAGTCTACAGAATCTTGACTGCCAATTATATCTCTCATTGTTGCACCGTTCATATATGCCAGGTGATTTATCGATAATGTCATAGAAGGAAAGTGATCTTCAGCAGAATCACGGCGAACGTATATCTATGGACCCGAACAGCCGCCGCCTCAGCAAAACTACAACGGTTAGTCTCGGCACATGGATGGGATGAATGAAGCTTGCTCCCACTAGAAATATCAGCTATCTCCAACTAGTCATCATCGTTACGGTCAGACGAGTGCGCAAGGGCAACAGCAGGTGTTACGTCCTCTTGTGGCACGCCGAGGCTGGGTACATCTGAGCCTCCATCCCAAGCTCCTGCGTAAGATATGCTGCCATCGTCCTTCCTAGTTTCTGATCATACCAACCCCTTTTAATCGATCTCTTCCTCAGCCTTCCGTCATTCTTCCCCCGTGGTCGCACAAAGACTAACTGGGAGGGACCTGCCTGCTGTTCCTCTACGAGAAACTTGACCGTATCAAGAACGGGATGCTTCCCGAGAATCGCAGCAGCTAACACACTCCCATATTCTCCAAACTCCAGATGTGCGTCAATATCAGCGCCATTTTCAACGAGGAAGCGAGCGCAGTCCAATTGTCCCATTGATACAGCAGCTGCCCAGGGGCTGCCATACGGGCCGAATTCTGGGTTCATGTTGACGTCCGCTCCATGTTCCACCAGAAGGCGAGCGCATTCGAGTTCTCCATTGCATACAGAAGCAGTCAGAGGACTCGCAAAGTCTCTATACTTCAGTTGGGCGTTGACATCTGCACCCTTCGCTCTGAGAAAGCGTGCACAGTCAAGCGGCCCCTCCCGCGCTGGTTTTCGGGATAGTTGAAACATGGGTGTGATCTTCTCCCCAGTTACATCACCGGTACTGTCTTTGATAACGATTGGCTTTTTACCGAACGTTCACTTAGACTGCTACACTACGTCCGGAGTGATCACATAGACTCCGTCGCTGAACATTATTCAGTACCTTTGGTCATAAATGTGCACCATGAAATGTCACACTCAAATTATTCTCATCATGACTTGCACAGTCAAATGATTGCAGTTCGTCGAGGAAGTGGAAGCAATTTGGGTTCACACGTAGCTACTCTCTAACCCTGCCCCAGCAGATGACCGTGGAACTCCAAATGGTTCAAGAACCCTCTTGCAATCCAACCATCAAATTCGACTCCCTCCACAACCTCCCCTCCTTTTCCTCATCGTATGCCCACGGCGCGAACCCCTGATCAAGCGAAAACGGACCCTCACCAGGCTTCACCGGTCCAACCTCCCCACAATCACTCAGATACCTGCCTCCTCGGCCTTCCCAGTCCTTGCTCACAGCGGCGTACACCGTTGTCGCAGCTCCTTGCGTGGGGCTCTTGAGCGACTTGGCGAGGATGTCGTATTGCTCTCCAAACATGGCCCTGAGCTCTGCGGGGTCCTTGCCGATCTGGTGGCGGTTCATGTTGGTGATGATACTGCCCGGGTGTAGCGAGAGGCCATGAAGGCCCTGGACGCCGTAGCGGCGCTCAATCTCGTTGGCCATGTAGACGTTTGCGATTTTGGTTTGGCTGTAGGCGATGACCGTGTCGTAGGGCCGTTTGGTGAAGTGGTAATCGTCGAATAGCACTTCGCTGCCACGGTGGAGCATCGAGGCTACCGCGACGACTCGAGAGTGGAACTGGGGCGTTGAAGAAGCCAGCAGGAGTGGTTTGAGGAGTTGGAAGAGGAGGAAGTGACCCAGGTGGTTGGTCGCAAACGTCTTCTCGAAACCATCCTCGGTTGTCTGCTTGGTTTCTGGCATCACGCCTGCGTTGAGCACGAGGATGTTTAGCTGTGTGCTGCGCGCTGTAAAGTCCGCTGCTGCCTTTCGCACTGAGGCGAGAGAGTCGAGAGAGAGCTCTACCAGGTGGAGGCTGCCTTTGCTGTCTGCGTTCGTCGCCTTGATGTCGTCGATGGCGGCTTGGCCATGGGTGAGGTCGCGAACGCCGAGGTAGATGGTGGCACCGGTTAAGTGCAACGCGCGGGCTGTCTCAAGGCCGATACCTTGGTTTGCGCCGGTGATGAAGATGGTCTTATTGACGAGTGCGTTGTGGAGGTTCTCATCGGCGATTATTTGGGCAGCTGTAGGACGGGCGTCGCCTGGGCCTTCGATATTTTCATGAGCGGCCGCGTACTTCGACATGATGAGCTACAAATATGGACCGATGCTAGAACACAGTTTTGTGTCTTTCTACTATTCCTTAACAATTGAACAGCAATCATTGTGAAGCTCACTCCACAGCGGTCTTTATACTCTCAAATCTGAGGCGTAGCACCGGTCGCCGGACCTGCCGGCAACAGCGTCGCTCTCACGTGAAGTACCTCGTCCCAGATGATGCGTTTGCAAAATACATATCCTGCAGCACTAACTTCCGGGTGTTTGTGCAAATGCCTGTTCCGGCGTGTAAAGTTTGACAACGGATACATTGACCTCATTGGGAGAGGTTCGGACGAAGACACGGGTCGCGGCCCCTGGAAGTCAGGAGAGCCCGTGACATCCGGCGGGATGATTTGAAGTCGGTATATGGCCAAGACTCCGGCGGAAATATGGAGAGAGCCGCTTTCACTAGTATCATTACTCCATGGAGTAGGCGCTGACAAGATGCAACCGAAAAAATGCTTAAAATTGTGGGAAGTAGTCATTCGCAAAATTAGTAGTTTTTCTGATGTCGCGTATCCTCGTGAATTGACCTATTTTGACCCCAAAGCCCATGCCAACTACCTGTATGCCATCATTTAAAGGAGTACTTTTGATTGATTGAAGGTGGCCATCCTTAACAACAAGAGAATTAAAAAGTTCTCTGTTGGTGACGACTACGTCACAATGAAAGGGAGCCCCTTGCATCGTAAGACATTACACCTTCAGATTGCTGATGCTTTGCATCTCAACAATATCGCGGTGGTCGGCCTCCAGCATTTGAACAAGCCTACGTCTGCAATAGCACGTCTTCAATCTGGAAATTTCACCGCCAGTTGCATCTAGCCTCAAAGGTTTACCCCGCAGCATGTTTTCAGCTTCATGTAATAAGACCTCGATAAAATGGCAGCTATGCCGGCCATCAATTTGCACAATAAATCTTCTCGCCAGACCAAATTACCAAACAACCAAACAATTCAGGAGATAAAGAACCACTACTTTTCCCGAGATGACCAAGAAAAGGTCCACCAGTCTCAGCGGCGAGACGAAGACCTCATTCACATTCCCACACTTAAACCAAGAGGTTGCCGACGCCGTTTCCGACCACATCACCTCCGTGTGGTTCAACAGAAACATAAATCAAGAATCTGATCAGAGATATTCAACCTTTGTGATGGGGAGGTTCACTTGCGACAATGGCGGCTGTTCCAAGGCAGCCTGGAGCAGCGGGAAGGTGACCATAGTCATCAGAGGGTACCCCGACAACGGATACAACGCAGTCGTGTACAATCAGCGCTGCAAAGCCTGCAAGAAACTAGGAACTCTGACCCTGGATGAAGATTCGTACGTCGAGCGGGTCGCGTATCGGCTGAAGAAATGGGCGGGGGTGCACATGGAACGTCCTGTCTACAGCAAGAAGGAAACACCTCCCCACAAAAGGGAGCTCTGTGAGGGTTGCAAGAGTGGTTATTGTGAGGCCTCATTATACTCGGCACGGATTTGATCTTTATGCAATGATTTGCTTCCTTTCTGAGGACTACGGCTTGTTTAGCTGTGTTTACCGACGGGGGGAAAAGAGCTTTCGCAGAGCATGGTCAGAGAGATTGATAGCGGTCTCAACATCATTCCAGGAATGCGTTACCCCGAGTAGGGAGATTGAGATATTTCAAGAATCAATCGTCGTTCTTCCAAGAGGGTTAGTGGGCGTCAAAGATTCCCGATATACTTGAGACATGGAGCAAACCCTTACCCATAGCTCGTAGTACAGAAATTTCAACACCCTTAGGATAATGCTCGTCTTAAACCGACCCAGATATTTCTGCCATTAAGCAGCTGCATAGTCAAAGCAAATCTAACAGGCTAACAGGCAGCTTGTCTTGTCCTGGCTGCCAGTTACCTAAAGGACAGACGCTTTCCCCGCCTCATATGCGCAGAACTTTCATTGACTCAAGGATACGAACCATCAACAGACCCAAAACGCAACCTAGCATGTGCCTGATAAAAGTGTGGCCTGACTTTCGAAGTTGCTGCGACAGATATCAGGACTTCCTGCATTGCACTATGCGGGGTGCTTTTACAGCAGGTGCAACGTGGACCAACAGAGCGTCGCTCCATGTGCAGGCCAACCATCATTGGCTGGAAACTGCAGCATGCAAGCCACACAAAGCTGCTTTGCAACCATCCCATGGGCCGTTGGTTGGATTGCAAATATTTCTGTCACGCTGTTGGTGGCAAATCCTTCCACAGAGGAAAGGACATCAGGCTTGCGTACGCCAACTGCAGCAAGGCCCAAATCGCTTGGCTTGGAGGCACCTGAAGCGCCTGCAACATGTTCCAATCGGACCGCGGGCGACTCGGAGCAGAATTTTGACTATTTAAGCAGTACCATAAGGCGGCTTTGGGTGGAATGCTTTCTCAAAGTCATAGGCATCGACAGCTATGGCCAAAAAGAAGAAGAAATCGGAGGCGAAGATCACAGACACTACCACTGTCGACGCAATGCCTCCAGCAGATTATCCAATTATTCCAGAAGACGAGCCCCTACCCTTGCCCGATGAGCCTGAGCCTCCAGCAGATTATCCAATGATTCCAGAAGACGAGCCCCTACCCCCGCCCGATGAGCCTGAGGCTCCAGCTCCAGAAGATGCGCCGGTGCTTTCGTGAGTGGTATCCCCTCCGCACGAGGTGCAACAGAGAGCTGACATGCACTTGGGTTCAGACCATACACGAGCCCAACCTGTAGGGTATACTTCAGGAACAAAATACCGTTCTTTGTTCCACGCGACCTGCTGTGTAATGCAAGCGAGTTGCTTGGGGCGCTAGTCACTTTGCCCAGCGATGAACCCCAGGATGAACTCAACGACATACATATCGAGGAAGTTCCAGATGATGCCGGTCATGTACTGGTTCATTATCTCTACACTGGGACTTGGCAGACCCTTTCACAGAGCCATTCACAGCAAGAACCCCCCACATTCTATGACTCCAACATCAGCGTCATCAAGTCCGACTTTGAAACGAGTGTGCATGTCTACTGCGCTGCTAAGGCTTATGGTCTTCCGGCCTTGGTGGGAATGGCCAAGAAAGAAGTGCTGCGGCTCGCTGATTATTTGACGCCGCTGGACGTTGTCGTATCGGCCTCCGAGGCTTGCCAGCTTCTGAGTGAACATGACATCTGGTTCAGAAGCTTTCTACAGCGCCGCCTGAGACTCATGTTCAACACCTCGAAGTATCTGGACGATTCGGTGTTTTTGGGATGTATTCAACATGGCACGGTCTATTCGAACTTTCTGGTGAAGAGCATGTTTTTGCTGTGCTGTCAGAACTCGCGAAACCGCCGTGTACTATCGGTTGCTGATGAGGAACAATCCGTTTTCGAAACCGACGAAGCCCATTTGGATGGATCGGAAACGGCAGCCGACGTGCCTGCGGAGGATCACTTGTCCTTTGGGTCACAAGCTGAGCCACTAGCCGAGGAGACGAAGGTGCCCGAGACACCACCGTCAGATGATTGGGCTGTGGCTGAACAGACCACGACCGAAGAGTTTGCTGAGCCGGCGGACTATATCCCCGACCCGGCGGACTGTATCCCCGAGGCTCCGCCAGAGGACTGCCTACAAGACGAATTGAACCTGGTCCAGCCTACAACAAAGTCTAAGAAGGACAAGAACAAGTCGAAAAAGAACAAAGCCTTGAAGAGAAACGAAGGTGTCTTCATAAATAATGGAGTAGAGCTTGTGTCGGAGTGGGGGACCAGATTGGCGAAGGAAAATGAAAGAGACGAGTTGGCCTCTTCAATCCTGCAGGCGGGCCCGGTGGAAGAACCGGGAGACCAGCCAGTATTGGAGGACGAGGCAGAATCTGAGCAAGACTCCTGGGGGCTTTTGACCAAGAAACAGAAGAAGAAAAAGCGTGAGAAGACGATAGTATCTGAGCAGGAGAAGGAGCCAGAGCCAGAAGCTGTACCAGAGGTCGAGGCAGATTCTGGGGCCCTTTGGGGTGAGCTGCCCAAGCCCAAAAAGAAGAAGAAGGAGAAGAAAGTTGAGGGGGGAAATACGAAGAAAAACAAGAACCAGAAAATGGTTCCGGACGCCCCAAACCCAGAGTCCGGCACAGAACCGGGCGCGGAAACCTCAACGATGACGGTGGTAAACCCCTGGGGGTTTCTGCCGAAGAAGAAGACGTTGACGAGGGAGCAAATGATCATGCCCGAGTTAGGATGTCCTGAAAGGGTCACTCATATCCTTGGTGGCGGATGGACCGAATGCTCTACCTGTCGCGAACAAGTTGGCAACATATCGGGAGAGTATCAGGCCAACCAAGCCAACGAAGGTGAACGGCTGTTATCTTGAGTAAGTAAGATGAGTTTTCGTGGTTATTATCAGCGGAACACAGTCATTTAGAAACAAATCATTCGTTTAAAGAATCATCAGAAATTTGTGAATCATTTGAAAACGAACTTCTCTTGCCATCCACTTGTGGCGCACTCGGACTGCAGAGCTGAAGACATAACGCGTCAACTAAGTGTCGTTGCTGGAGCAACGCACATTGGGTGCTCTGACACGAAAAAAGGGACCTTTGCTACCCCTGCAATCGATCCTTATCAGCACTCGATTGCATCATCGCCGCTGTGCCGTTCGTTTCTCAGCGACCTTCCGACCTTGGTCACTCGTACCAATACCCGTAACGGTGGATGCGCTTATCGCTGATTGAGGCATCAAGCGCCATCTCTCTTCATAACCCCTTGCCAAGCCCCATCTCTCCTCCACACATCCACAACCGCAACCCAACAGCCACCATGCGCTACTCTCTGTCTACCAAGCTACTGCTCCTTCTGGGCTCTTCGCAGCTCGCGCTGAGCGCCTCCAATGACCAGTTCGTTATCGCGCCTGCCAGCAAAGATGCCGCGACCCCGTTCCGAATCCACGATGCCGATGAGTCAGTCCTCGCCGCGTTGAAGGCGCATCCCGATCCCGTCGATGCCCTGCTGTCCCTCCAACCTGAGA